ATTATATAAGCTAGTTATTGCTTAGAGATGTTAATAACAGAGTTAATGAAAAGGGAAGAATAACAGAAAGGTGGGTAGAAAAGAGTTTGCAATTTCAAAAGATTAACAGGGATAATGCAGAAGTGATATAGGATGTTATGGTCATGAGGGAGGAGGAGAGAAAATAGAAATAAAAAATTAATGAAAGAGTGAACAATAGAATTTGGCTGTTAGTAAAAGAAAAGAAACAAGGGAAATAGACAAAAATACTAATCAAAACTACTAACCCTCAAAGACAAAGAAAAATGACTACCTTCCAAAAATGCTATAAATGAGAAAAAAGAAACAAATATGTATATTATAAATGTTCATGAGCCACTGAGAGAGAGTGCACAGGCACACATACACACAGGAGAGAGGTGGGGAGAGAGGGAGAGAAAGACATCCTTGATGAAAAATTAAGGAATCATTTCCATTGAGGTTGTCAAAATAGTCGATGAAAATATATGTTTACTGTCTGCTCAACTATCTTTCTTTCTGTTTCTTCTTGAGATAGGTACTGAACACGAGAGTAGGGGCTGTGGTTTTTTTAATGTTGCTCATTAAGTTTCCAGGTGGAGTTAAAAAATTCTCAGCTTCCCTGGTTAGTAGCATGAGGCAGGGTGGGATGGGAAATACTTTCAGCTGGGTTTGGTCTGCAACAACCTGATGGATGCAGTCCCAGGGTGGGGCTGCTACAGAGTTCTGTGAGAGGAATCCCATAGGTGGAGCTCCTGAAGAAGTTGGGGCTTAGGTCTAGTCAGACCCCAGATGCTTTGTTGGGTGGTGATGGCTCCAGAGATATTAAATCAACATACCTCTAGAGCCTGGCAGTTGCCAGTCTCCACTGGGAGCTGTATCCTAGGAGATTCTCTGGGTTTCACTTGTGAAGCAGGGGAGCCAATCCTTTATGGCTTCTGTTGCCCACAGATACTGCCTTTCCAGGCTTCCCGGGCTTAATCCCTGAGTGTAGTCACAGCTCCCATTCAAATTTCCAACCTGCTTCAACTGCTTCTGCAAGCTGCCAGACTCAAAGTGGGTATAAAGTCGGGCTCCCCTTGGCCTTTCTGACTTGTGTTACCCTGAGTAAAATACTCTCCAAGCCTGTTTAACTCTCATTTTCTTAGGTACAGCCTAGATCATGTGGCAGGTGCCCAGCAGGACCATGTAAAGGAAACAGTTCAGATCTCCCAGTTCCCAAAGCCTTGGTGAGGTCACCTCAGTATGGCTCCTGTCTCTCAGGGGACAATTGGGAAACATGAGTGTGAAGATGGCCTTAGGCCTGAGCCTAAGCAACTCCATTTTTAAAACTCCAGTTTGAAACCGGCAATCTAACCAGGCACACTTAACGGAGCCCTCCAGTACGGCCCTCAGGCACAAACAAATCACTTCCCCCCCACCCTGATAAACTCTAGAGTGAAGTCTCTGGCAGGCTGTCCTTGCCAGATAAGAGGGAAAGGCGAAAAGATCAGGGTGGGGACCACCAGACCAGATGTTTTAACCCCAAGGTAAATGACGCAACATTGGAGAGACCCAGTGGTAGCTGATAAGGACTGAAAGAGGGGTCAAAAGCCCCAAAATTTAGTATAAATAATGGAGCAAATGAACAGACATTTAGCTAACAATGATGCCCTCAGACTGAGAGCCTGATGAGGACCAGGACTGACATCTCAACATTTATCAGCGTTTGCTAATCCTCTGCATTTTCCTACAGCCACATCTTGACCCTGGTAAGAGCCACAATTTCCCCCTACTACCCTCTCCTCAACCTGCATTAAGCTCCACCCCAAAGCCTGCCTTGGTTACTGACCGGATCACCGAGGTCTGAGTGAGCGTGCATCTAAGGCTTGAGACTTTTGAACTGATACTTGAACTTGTAGAGGGAACATCTGTCATTAGTCTGTCATGATTAAGTGTGTTTGCAGTGCTTAGAATTAATCTAGAATTGTTTGCTGTGAATTGATTGTCTATTGCAGTGCCTAGCATTAAGAATTGTCATTTTCTTGATTAAGAACCTATGGAGTGAAATTGTATTTGGTGATTTGAGTGAATAAAGCATTGACTAGGACAGAAGTGCGTGGACATTCTTTGTTTCTCCCCCTCAACTACATAAGTCGCACCTTTTGCCCATCTCAACAATGAGGCATCTTTCATGTACTAGTATAATGTGCAGTATAGTCTCTGGATCAGCCTAGGGCAGACTGCCCCTCAGATCTCAGGATTTTCCACACTAAGTCTATCCTTTGTATTTCTCAGCACTTTCCCTCCTCTGTGCTAATGCTACTGCTACTGCTAGTAGCTTGGCTCCAATGTTGTCTTTCTTCTTGGTTTAATGTACCCCAAATTTCTAGTCTCTAAGGCACTCAGACTGCTCAATATTGAGTTTTAGTGAAATCCCTTTTTTCACCCCCCTGGCAGAGAAGCAGTATTCCTGCTGCTTGAATCCTGGGTCATGGAGCAATAATAAATACAGCTTTCTTCTAGTCTGCCTTCTTGTGGCCCCAGACCCATCATTTTTATCCTTTTGTCATCCCCACTGAGGCTTTTTATTTCTCGTCCTCAGTCCCTTACCTCCTTGCTCTTTATCAGACATTGTCTTCTCTACTGTTATCCCAGGTTACTATGTGCTTCCCGATCAAACTCACTCAACAATTCAGACTGTAGTTGCTATGATTTCAGCATCTCTAACCTGATTTAGTTCTTCTGAATTTTCCTTTAACATTTCAATATTTTGTCACTTAGCTCCCTCTGAATATCAACTAGACCATGAAAAAATGGAGACATTCCATATTTCTTAAAGTATGCTATCATTGTAACAAGGTTAATTATTCTGAAATTAATAAATCAATATATTTAAAATAAGATTCTCAACATTTATATTTAGATTAAATGATTGTTAAAGTTTACATGGAAGAGCAGATGTGTGAGAATTGAAAATTAAAAAGAACTTCCCCTATTAGTTATTAATATTTACTGCAAAACTACTATAAAAAGAATCTGATATTGGCATCAAAACAGATAAGTACATTAATAGAATGAAATAGGCAGTACACAAATATATTCATATATGTATTTAACATAAAGACGGTATTGTCATTAAAAACATTAAATTAAGAAAGACTACTAGAAAATTGACTAGCTAATTAAAATAAATCAGATTAGACCCCCATCTAACTACCAATACTATAAAAATAAATTCAGTGTATTAAAGAACTTTCAAAAATCTTATTAAAATTTTAGGATAACACATGGCAATATTACTTGAATAAATGCAGAACTGGAAAACCTTAAGTAGAAAAAACATTTAAAAAATCAGAAATAGGGGGCTGGGGATGTGGCTCAAGTGGTAGCGCACTCGCCTGGCATGCATGCAGCCCGGGTTCGATCCTCAGCACCACATACAAACAAAGATGTTGTGTCCGCCGAAAACAAAAATAAATAAATATTTAAAAAAAAAATCAGAAATAGTACTGATGTGTATTATTTTATAAATCTAAAATCTGATGCTACAACATTTAACATTATAAAATGTTACAGTTCTAATTCAGTAAAATTATATTTTGATATTTAAATGGTGTTAAAAATAGCTCGAGGCCTATTTAGAGTGGTATATTACATAAATCATCAATCAGAATTTCTTTTTTAATTTCAGCCTTATTTTTTTAGCTGACACAGCTCTTACATGTGGTTTCCCTACTGAGCTGGAGGAAATACATTGATTAATATGATAATCCTATAATTAAAATTTAGAAAATTTGTGTAAAAATATGGTAGACTCTCACTCCAGAAAATTTGTAAAACATTATTTTAATGCCTCCAAAATTATTTCCTTTGGTACATTCTTTGTATGTGAATGGCTTTAAGAAGTCTCACTAAAACTCTGAAATGAAAACCATATTATATTTAGTTTGAAATGTGTTTCAACATTTGGTTAAGGTAATAAAACAAATGTACTTCACTAAATTAAAACTTAAATGTATTCTATCTTTTATTTTTAGTTTTACTGTTAAATTATGTATATATATTTAAGTTATATATACACCATAAAAATATGCGCGTGCGCGCGAGCGCGCACACACACACACACACACACACACACACACTTTATGTCCCCCTCATTTACTCGATTCTAATATGCTTTCTTGAGAGTAAATTAAATATATAGAGTCCAGACAATGTAGTTAGAACTGCTCATTCTATGATACAAGAAAGAGGTGTGGAGCCACTAGAAGAAACGGAACATACAGGCCACAGCTGGAGTAAATACTCAGATTTTATGCTAATTTGCTTACTAATACTTGTTAAGGAGTAAGATTTTGTGCTTTCTGCTAGGGATACAACAAGAAAATCAAGATTTCCTTTTCTTATGAAGTTTGTATTGACATCACTGATATGAACTAACTAATTACCAACTAGTTATTTAATTGTGGCTATAGTAAGTACTAAGGAAGAAATAACTGATCTAGTCTCTAAAGTTAGAGAAGGTATTTGGAGAATATAAGGATCAAACAAGACCTATGTTGGAGTCAGGGCAGGATCAGTGAAATGGGGCAAGGAAGTAGTATCTGGACAGCAAAATACTGTTCCTATAAGAGAGGTTCTGAGGTAGGAAGTAAATGGACCAAGAGAAAGTCAGCAAGGCTGCAGCCCCAGAAGGTGGCTAATGGTGAGGGATGACACAGGTGAGGTGGGCAGAGTGCCTTATAGGATGTCCTAAATAATCTAGACATTTTTCCTATGGGAAACAACCAAAGGGTTTTTATTTTATTTAGTTAGTTATTTATTCTGGTAAATCAGGAAAATGTTAGAGTCAGATTTATATTTTTAACTTTTCCATCGTACAAATTTAAACGTCCCCTTTCAGTAAGTTTTCTTATGAAAACTACTCTTTCAAAATAATTACACATGAAAAGTTTCCCCATTTCCACTCCAAATTCAATTCTCTAACGACACTAGTATCTTGAGAGAATACAATTTCATACCCTGTTTCTTCTGGAAACGCAGAAATGGTGCTTCCATCACTTTGACAAGGGTCCTGAGAAGGAGAGTCAGAATCTTTTCTATCTGGGTTTGTAGTGATATTGGCCACTCGTTGTTGCAAGTCCCACTTTCGAGCTACGTTGTTAATTGTTAACCTTTTCTTCTCCTATTAAAAAATTTAATTGTGACAAGAATTACACAATATAAATTTTTAAAAAGAGAATCCAAGGAGCATATTGTTGCACCTTCTTACAACACTTTTGAAAACAAACTATCCCTTAAACATAGTTACCCAATACACATTCTAGAACAAAGTTCAAGACACCTATATTTATCTTATATATTCAAATATATTAATAATAGTCTATCATCCTCAAGAAAAAAATTACATACAAAATATAATTAGTATGTAGGAACTGAATTTTATTAAAAATAAACATATAACCACTGGACAGTGAAAATTTACTATCTGAAATTTTGATTTGACAAAAATGTATATGCCTCTGTCTTTAAACATAGCAAGAAAGACTAATAAGCATTAAAGTTTTCCTACCCAATAATTAGGACAAATATGGTGGAATAATCTTTGTGTGTGGGGAGGGGAGGGGGTTGATCAGTGTTCCAAGTTTCACAGTATAAACTGTTGTGTCTGAAAATGAAAAAAAAATATTGTTTGGACTACTAAAAGAAATTTGCTAGGCTGAAATTCTTCTAGACATCTAGTACCATTCTAGAAGACAAGGAAAGAAATTAATTCATTATATGCAATGGATGCTTTACAGTAGTGGTTCTTAAACTTTAGAGTGCCTCAAATCACCTAAAGGGCTTTACAATCAGATTGCTGAATCTCACCCCATTCTGATTTAGTGTCTCTGGACTAGGACCTGTGAGTCTGTGTGTCTAACATGCTTCCACTTCATGCTAAGTTTCTAGTTCACAGACCCCATTTTGAGAACTACTGCCTTGAGACATTAGAGATCAATTTTCTCACAGAAACCCTGTTGAGAAAAGCAGTTCTAAGTTACTGAAGGAAATTATGATAGATTATAATGTTGTCTGTATTAACTGGAATAAAGAATTCTTATTCTAGTTATTTTTTTTACTATCAAATGTTATCATTTTAAAATGGTTTATCAATTAGATCAGAATGCCAAAAATAGATATGTTCTCTTTCCTCTTTCCTAAGAATATAACCGTCCAATGAAAAGTCAGCTGAATGTGATACCGATTGTTCTTCTTCACCTCTTAGAAAGAATCTCTGCCCATTTCCTCAGTGCCTATATACATATAGAATAATTATTTTTAGTTGTGCCTCTTTATATTTCTTTAAGATTCTAGTGTGTGTGTGTGTGTGTGTGTGTGTGTGTGTGTCATTTTGTAGGAATGAAAAGTGATGTGGCTGGCTTAATTAAAAATTAAAAATGGAATGAGGGCTAGAACCTAGGTCTACTGATTCCTCATGCTTCTCCTATTATTAAAAGAGCTAACTATCTTTATAATTAATTAAACATTTAAAATTTCTGTTTGTCTATTTAAAAATGTTTTAGGCATGGGTTCTTTTCTCTATTATTTGATATTTCAAATTTGTATAGTTAATGGATAACACTTATTATGTATACAATTTTGAAATATCTTTTTTAAATGATATTTTTTAAATGTTCTCCTTATGTAAAGCAAGTAGGATTCTGCTATTCTACTGGAAAAACAATATCTTCCTAATCTGTAATAAAAAGGCATCTTACCTAAAGGAATACTATTTTAGTTATTTACTGATGACTGTGCCAACTCAATTCTTAATCTAAGCAATGCTGTTATTTTTACTCAGTACCAAGGTCACTGGACCCATGCATTTGGATTTCTGTATGACAGGGGTTGGCAGAGAATAATATACTTACTGAGGTTTAGATAACAGAGCTTAGAAAAAAGGCACTGAAATAACTTTACACTATTGGATATGTTAACAAATTTGTAACACGATAGTCTCTGAAAATGCAAACATTTTCTTATACCCATAAAAGTTAAGCTTCCTTTACTTGGGCTATTAAAATCAAATCAATACCAGGTAGACTAAGAGAATGGATAATTTTATTGGGGCCAGGAAAAAGGAATGTATGACAGGAGTATATCCTGAGGTCAGGCAGGGTTCACTGTCTGGCTAGGAGGCCACAAGAGGGCTCTAGATATATACGGAGCAAGAAAAAAAAGAAACCAAAAAAAAAGCTAGATAATGCTATAGATTCTCCAAGGCAAAAGGTGGCAACCAATGCATAGTTAATTTTCAAAGATCACTGAAGCATTTGGCATATTAGCTATAATTATGTTTGTAATTGCTAGATTTTGGTAATTGCTAGATTGTTATCAATTGCTAAGTCTATGTTAAAGTGATAAATATTTTAGAAGGTGCCAAATTCAACTCTTTCCATTTGAGTCTATTTACAGTCCAGGTAAGACCACACTGGTATATGCCATAAATACCATTTATCTTCATTTCCAAGGATATAATAATAGAAAGAAAAGAAACAAGGCAGAAGATGTAGGTCTATATAATCTTTTCCTACTCAACCCATCCCATTTTCTTAATGATCAATATATAGTATTACATGAAAATAATCCTTAGAAAAGGCTAAATATCTGTTTTATCATGACTCCAATTCTGAATGAGGGCTAGAACCTAGGTCTACTGATTCCTCATGCTTCTCCTATTATTAAAAGAGCTAACTAATCTTCATAATTAAAGAGTTCTACTTAGTGACTTTTAAGAGAAACATCAGCTATTTTCCAAAGTTTTCATTAAAACTTTCCAAATATTCTTTTAAATGTTTGCTAAAAATTTAATGGCACATTTTCCCACATGCTGGTGGTAAGATGCAGCTGAATTGGGTACATAACAAAATTTTTTTTTAGGTTGAAAGGTGAAGTCAAGTATGATTTCTGAAACTGGAAACTCTACTGAAACTGGAAGCCTTATAGTTAAATAATCAATAGAATTTCTTTGTTCATTCTTCCTTTCCATACTCTAGAGCTCATACAAGAGTGTTCTGTATTTTATGTATGCATGTATTTTCTTCATTCATTCATCTATGTACTTTTTCACTTATGTATCTGGCGGAAGCAATTGCATGACAGGGAACACTACTTTTTCTAAATGAACATGGCAATGAGAAATCTCGCTCTTACAGATTTTTAAAAATACTGTCTATGGCTTTATTTCCTATAAACTAGGGTATTTGGGGCAAACTCTTGGGAATATGCCAATATATGAAAGAATAAGTTTCATTGGCTGAATCAGTAAAAAGGCAGAAACATGTACCAAAACTCATTAGGCACTGGGTTCAATCTTCAGCACCATATAAAAATAAACAAACAAAATAAAGGTATACATACATGGAGTACAACTTATTAAAGAAAAAAATTATATATATATATATATATATATACACACACACACACACACATATATATATATATACAGTAAGCCAGTCATGGCAGTACATGGCTGTAATCTCAGAGACTCAGGAAGCTGAGGCAGGAAGATTGCAAGTTCAAGGCCAGCCTCAGCAACTTAGTGAGGTCCCAAGCAACTTAGAGAGACCCTGTCTCAAAAAATAAAAAGGGCTAGGATGTGTCTCAGTTGTAAAGTGCTTATGGATTAAGTCCCCATTACTAAAAAATGAAATAAATAAATAAATGTGTGTGTGTGTGTATCAGTAACATTTATCAGTGAAGATGACAGTCTATTACAGTGCCATTCAAGGTGAATTGCACATGCCATGGGATGGATACACAAGGTAATGCACTGATATAAAAACAAATACTACAAATTCTATTATATTTATTTTCATCTCTCAAGTTCCAGCTTTTGCATTTGTTTTATAATGTTTATTATATTACATTTCCTAAGTACAAGTTTATTTATAGATAGTAACTTATAAAAGTTATAGGAGTATTTAGTAATGCAAAATTTAAAGTTTAGAAACCAATATTCCAATAGATTAGCTAGCTAGCTTCAGTGTACGCACTCATGGATTCAGGCAGCGGAAAAAATACCTTAAGCAAAGATTGTTTATGACTTTCCCGCTTCTTCTCTTCCTCCTTCTTGGCTACTACAGATGCCATACGCCTTTCTTCTTCCTAAAAAAAGAAAAAAAAAGTTTTGCCAAAGATATTATGATGTATGTAACCATTTTTTAATGCTAAATATCTTTGGTCTTGAAAGTCTGAGTTTTCTTCTTAAGGAGTACATTACTTGCTAACAGGAAATATGCCCTCAAAGAAAAAGTCAGTATGTCTTTCTTCCTTTTCTTCTTTCCTCCTAAGTCTTAAAAAAAATTCTTCTTAAAAAAATTATTTATTTATTTATGCTAAAAACACAACATTCTTAACTCTATTTCAAACTCTGCAGTTGAGATGAACCTAGGTAATTAATATAAACAAACAAAAAAGTAAAGAAAGGGGGAGACCTTTTCTTTGTATAAATTTTCTTTGAAATTTTGTCAGTCATACCTCAATAAAGTTGGAAAAAATAAAGACTATGAAGTATATTACTTCAGTTCACAAAATTTTTTTAAAAAACCAGTCATAACTTCAATACTCTCACAATTTCTATGTATAGCTTTTAATTTTTTACAATGAGTACATTTTGTAAAGTTGTAACCTAGTTATACAGATTTACCTTTTCCCCCTGAAGAATGTCAAATTTTAATAAGTTACAACCACTTAACTTTTTACTTTTCATTACCATAAGATTTATAGGTAGTGAAAAAGATGTCCCAATTTGAGGAAACAATTTCTTCCTTCAAGATAACCTTGAAAATACACTCAGAAATAGGAAACTATGGCCATATGACTTGCTTTGGCCAATGTTATATAAACAAAAGTGACATATATTTACTTCTAGGTGGAAGTTTTCAAAGGCAGTATAATGAGGCTGTTTTCTCTCTAACCTCTACTCTAGTAAATAAAGCAAAGCTCTAGATAGTGGGTACTTTGAAAACTGAGCCCTCCAAAGACAAAAACAAAAAGCACAGATCCCAGACTACATACCATGGCAGACTATTAAGAGCCTGAAATAAACTTATTGATTTAGCCCAATGAGGTTAGAGAAGTTGGTGCCAAAGCAAAATCTAGCTTGTCCTCACCAATGTATATTAAGGAAGGTCAAAGAAGACATGAAAATATATTCTACAAGGTGGGCCATTATATTTGTCCCTGAAAACAAAGACTTAAAATAGATAAAGAAATACACTTAAAACATGCACAAACATTAATTATCACAGAGTTAAAAAAAGAAAACTAGAAAAGAATCCACTAAAAGATTCTAATTTTAGAAATGAGGATACTATGCTCTAAGAAGTTAGTAACTTATATGAGGTAACACAGCTAGTGACAACATCTGGATAAGAACCAGAAGCCATGTCTTGCTAGAAATGATAATTGTAGTGTATTTTTATAATAAATTTATATTTAATTTTTTTAAAATTAATTTTAGAGATGAAAAAAGTGAGATTAGAATTCATTAGAAATCTACCATATGATTTAGTTATTTTATTTTTTTAAATATTTATTTTTTAGTTATTTTAGGTGGACACAGTATCTTTATTTTATTTTTATGTGTGTTGAGGATCAAACTCAGCGCCCCGCGCATGCCAGGGAGCACGCTACCGCTTGAGCCACATCCTAGCCCACTGATTTAGTTGTTTTAAAGGGAATGGAAATTTAATGTGATTTTTGACAAATTTCAAGTGCTTTTTCTCAAAATGGGAGATAATTCTTATTAACTTAAAAAACTAAATAGAGGTAATGAGGAGAAATAAACTAAATAAAAAATGCAGAACTCTGATTCCTAGCATCACAAAATAGCTGGTTTAATGATTATATTAAATTCTTTTATTAAATAAATACTAATTTGGTACCTATAGAGTATAACCTATTTTAGAACAAACTTCTTAAAAGATAAAAAAAATATATTGATGTTCAGTGTTGACTCATCTATAAAATGTGAACTAGAAACAGATTGGTTATTCAAAGAGCCAATTTCAAGCAGTACTGGAAACTGTATGGATCACGTACTACACATACTTAAGAGATGATTTCATCAGATTTTCAAAAAGAATTTCAGCTTCTATTAAAGGCAGTAGGGCTTTAAAAAGGAAATCTAAACCTTGGAAAACTGGATTTTTACCAATCAATTTAAATATTGAGTGTTTTAAGGAATTTTTACATTTGATGGCTGCATTTCAGCTCAAATAATTATAGAATAACTAAATTTAGAAACAAAAATAAACCTCTAATTATGAAGATAAGCTATAAATCTGTTGGTAAGAAGGAAAAAATCTGTAAAATTCTGGCACCTTCATGATAATAGTCCACTCCAGTATCTGGGACAAAAGCCATACTCTTTATGTAGCAAAAGAAAGGGAAAAGATTGGGACAAAAAAAAAACCTACTTTTTTCCTTATTTTAGTTTGACCATGAAGACCCAATATAGAAATAATTTCAAGATAATTAAGCAGTACAATGATTTAATAGGTGTTTGATAACCTAGATTATACTTTGCTAGCAGATTATTGCAGCTCTCAAACAATGTATACGAGAAGTTTTGCTCCAAAATAAATAGTAGTCCTTTACTATGTGGAATTTTTAAAATAAAGAGGCAATGCATTTTTAACCACACACTCTAGAATAACTGCTGTTGTTTTCCTTGAATATATAAAACATTGAAATAGATTTAAAAATCACAGTGTTTTGGTCTCGAAGAGATAGCCTTATTTTTCTTTTAGCAGAGAAAACTGATTTTTCCAGGGTCATAGGTAGTGTTAAAGCAAGGATTAGGAGCCACATCACCTGACTTCTACTGGGCCAGGAATTAGCCGTTAAATACTAGCAGGAGATTGAAAAGCCCAAACACAATAGGTTATGCTGCTGTAACAAGTTTAAAACTGACATTAGATTATAATAAGAAATGTTTATTTTTGAACATGCAAACACTACTGCAAATGTCTTCAATGTAGTGGCTAAATGTTCCTGGGTACTATTATTTTGATGATATCTTCAACCCAACATATATTTCCATAATGACCACAGGAAGAAAGCACAGAGAATCTTGCACAGGCTTTCAAATGCTTCTGCCTGAAAATGAGATATAGTACTTCTGCTCATGTTTCATTAGCCAAAGCAAGTTACACAGCAACACATAACTTCAAAAGGGTGTAGAAATACCACATTTCCACATGTCAAAAAGATAAGGAGAGCTCGGTGGCGCATGCCTATAATCCCAGCAGCTCGGGTGGCTGAGACAGGAGGATCACAAGTTCAAAGCCAGCCTCAGCAAAAGCGAGGTGTTAAGGAACTTAGGTGCTAAGTGAGACCCTATCTCTAAATAAAATACAAAATAGGGCCGGGATGTGGTTCAGTGGTTGAGTGCCCGAGTTCAATCCCCAGTACCAAAAAAAAAAAAAAAAAAAAAAGGAAGAGAACCAAACCATCAGTGAGTGTTAGTAATGTCTACCAAAAGAAGAAACTTACTTTTGCCTGAAATGAGTTATTCCATTTTTCTTGGGGGGGGGGGGTGAGTAAACTGTAAACATGTTCATATTAAGTCATTTAAATGTGCATTTGAGGTAAAAAGTTTGACATTGTTTCTCTTTCAGAATTGTGAGAATTGTGCCTGCATTCCGAAAATGCTGCCTTAGAAATTAAAGGAAGAAAATTTGACTTCTCAGAATTTTCTGTATAATGACCCTTGTTCTACTCCTCAGACTGTCTGAATCAATCTCCCTTTCTCTCTCTCTCTCTCTCTCTCTCTCTCTCTCCTCTCTAAAACTAATAGTTCAGCTGTAATCTGACTATTGAAGAAAAAAATGGAATGACTGTCTTCATTTCCTAATTTCTTTATTTCTATAAATGAACATTATTTTAAGCAACATTAGCTTTTAACAATCATATCTTGTAATTAACTCAGGTTGAGCTTATCAATTCTAATGCATTATTTTCATACAACTGCTAAATCTCATTCTCCACAACCCTGCATTTGTGCTGAAAATTGTTCTGTCAGATTGTTAGTATGAGGTTAATGCTCAATATTTTCAATTTATCTTTTTAAAAAAATTTTATTAAATTCTGTTTATTTTTCTAGATGAGGGGTCAGTAAACTTTTTCTGTAAAGGGTCTGATGGTAAATATTTTAGGTTTTCTGGGCTATCTAAGATTTCTATCTTACATTGTTCTCTGTTCTCCCTTAAAAAAACAAAAACAATGTTTTAAAAGTATAAAAACTACTTAACAGTTAAACAAAAGCAGGATGCAGAACAAATCTGGCCTGTAGGCTATAATTTGCCAAGCCCTATCCTAGACTATTGGGTTACTTTTGGATTCTCATTTGATCAAACAATATAAGAGGATCTCTAACATCTTCAGTTTCTGTCACTTACACACTTTAATAGAGTAACATTAAAATTTTCTTATATTGACCTTAACAAAAATGTTGAATAAAACAGGCAAGAGGAAAACCCCTCATCGCATGTCAGTACAGATTTTCTAAAGGCTGGCACCAATCCATTCCTTCATGTTTTGTAGATAAACTTGAAAAATTGTCAACTTAACCATGTTGTCATACAACTTATTCAAAATGATGTCAAAAAAGACTTTTCCAAATACTTTGCTTAAATATCAAAACACAATCAGCAACACTTCTCTGAAAGGGTATATTAATAATGACCCTGATTTGATCATCACATTATATGTATGCCTTATAATGTACTCATAAATATGTCTAGATACTATATCAATTTTAAAAGTTTAAAATAGGAAACTAATTGTTTTGCATGGATTGCTTTTAGTGAACTAATGCTGCCTCCTAGTGATCAATTCCTTAAATACTTAAAACCAACTTTTAATAATTGAGTTTATATTTTTTATAATATTGATTGTCATAATTTGGAGAGTTTATATTTTTTCTTTCGTGATTAAAAACAGATTAGTTCACCTTAATCCTCGGCTACTCTATTATTACCAAAATTACCTCTCTAATGGTCTAGCAATTTATTCAGTGCTCTAGATCAAGGATTGAAAAATTCTAGTCCACAGGTCAAATCCATCCTGCTAATTGTTTTTGTAAATAAAACTTTATTTGA